AAAGCAGGGGAGGAGCAAAGAAAGAGAGAGAAGCAGCTCAGAGATGTCAGCACAGAGCCCAACAGACATGGGGCTTGATCTCACAAAAACATGATATCATGAGCCAAAATCAAGAGTCCCACGCTTAACCACCTGAGCCACCTAGGCACCTCTAAATAAATAAAACTGAAAAAAAAAATCTAGGTAAAACCCGTAAGCCTGAAGGTAGAAGCTTTAAGAGGTGACCCCAGCTTTTAAATTGGCCAGAGGTACTGGTTTCTTTTCCTATGCCCATTTTGGTTCTTGATCTAGGAAATATATAAAACCGTAGATAATCAACACTAAACAAAATATAACATTTGAATTTCAAAAATACTTTTTAAAATTGAAATTCTTTCTGTTTTAACTGTGATCACATGATTTGTAAATTATTTTTAATCTATTCTTCCTCACCTTCACAGAGTTAAAGTCAAAGCTCTCTGTTGCAGAAAAACTTTCTTTAATATAGAGGAAAAAAATATATCTATTTCTTTATCTCTCTCCATATTCTGTATGGGGAAAATGCTTCCATGGCTTAATTAAAAATAAGAGCTACTTATTGTTAAATGCTGGTGTTTTGTTTAGTTTCATTTTGATTTGGTTTTTGCCGGTCTCAACCTGGAGAAGTTTGGGAAGGCTATTTTGTAGAGAAATGTGTAGCATAAAGTTGTTTCATTATTCTCTCTCCCTCTCAACTAGAATTATGTTTGTTTCTAATTATAAAAATAATGTTTGTTATAAAAAATTTCAAAAGTACACAAAAAGGTAAGAATTAAAATTTCAAACCCACAAGTCTGCAATAAACACTTGGTGCTTCCATCTGATCTGTTTTCCACATGAGTTTATTTTAAATTAGTATAATCATATATCATACTTTTAGTCAACTAATGTTATAATCTGAGAACCTTCCAGTGTTAGCCAATATTTTTAAAACCTAATTTCTACTTGCTATATAAAGTATAGTATCTCTGTTTTGCAGAAAACAAAGTGTAACTTCTTACCTCCTGTTTAACACTGAACTGGAATGTTCTCAATTTATGCAATTGCCAACACTAATACTGTAATAAACACTTATATGTGAATCTGTGTCCAATTTGTCTACATCTCTGATATTCCTGTAAAATAAATTCATAAATAAGTAATCTCCCATCTCCACCACTCTTCAGCAGTATTTTAAATAAGAGCTTTATTTATTTACCATTTGCTTTCAGAGACAGCTTCATTGGTGTTGCTAGCAAGTTGGGTGGTATTCATTTCATTATTAAACTTAAAAGCATACTAATTCCTTTTATATGAATCAAAGATCAGGTGATTTTTTCATGAAGTAAAGGCACCTGGCATCATATGACTTACTTGATCTTTACATAAAAATAGGTGCCAGTAAATGGTAGCTATTGTTATCATAATAACCACCTACTTTTGGTTAACCTATGTATGCCATCCTCTAAACCTAGTAAACTAGGTGCTCCTACTGAACTATATGAGTATATACTGACCAATGTATTTATAAAGTATTAGCTATGGTCTTTGTACTATGATAAGCACTAGTTCTTCCCAAATCATCTCAAATACTTTTATTGTTCTGAAATACTTATTATTACTTTTATTCTTTTCATATTTGTAAACGGAGACCCTAAGATATACAGCAATTTCCCCATAGGGAAATTCCAAACTCCATGCTGTCATTGCTATACATGACTACTTTCTGTGCTGGCTGAAATCGTACACGGACACCTGAAATATTCGAAGAATTACATGTACTGTTTGTATATCATCCATCCCTTAAATCTATTTCTTCGGGAAAAAAAGAAGAGTGCAAAACGTGACTCCTGGATGTATAGACAAGAACCTAGGACTGCATCTTCTTACACTGTAGATTAATGAACACCAAATAATGGGTGAATGCCAATTTCAAAGAAAAAGAAAGCACTATTCCAGAGATTCTCTCACCTGATCAATAGAATATAAAATTGAAATGTAGGGTATACGTGTAGGAGTTTGTATATTTTGGATATTGAAAAAGATAATTGGCAAAAATAAAACCCACAGAAAATAATAAGTATAGCATAAACTTACAGGATGATTTAGCAACAATATGTGATAGTAGATTTCAAGTGTGTGAACTTGATAGAATGAATATGGAATTGAATTTACTGAATTGAATTTTAATAAATGCTATTCAGTAAGTTGGATACCAATCTATTCAATCTATGCCATCCTAGAGTTCAGAATATCAAATACAAATATTTGAGAATATCAAATACAAATACAAATATTTGAGAATTGATCAATATATACATGTATTTTAGAAATCACTTTTCAAAGATGTAGGGAAAATATCAAGGACATTAGGAAATCCTGTGCCTTAGATTTAAATACATGTTAAAAGAAGTAAAGACTTAGCCAACTTATACCCAACAGTACTGAAAAAGCATACAAATGTAGCTATAGAAACATTGAGAGTAATATTTTTTAAGTCATGTATAATTAGATAACAAACTTTCAAGATAAACAAATGTCCCATATTCAAAGAAATAGAAATTCTCAAAATTGTGAAGTCTGATAAAGTAAGCATCAACACCCATAAATATTCCCAGATGTGTTATTCATAAAAATCAGCATGGGTTCATCAGAAATGAATCTATAAACTATTATCGATAGTCTTTTCTATTAGTCCTTTATTTTCATCACGTGTATTATGTCTTAAATTATACAGTTCACATACCTAGAGGTGAAAGAAAGCTAAATGGATGGCTGGTTCAATGGATAACATTCAAAAATATCCTGAGCAGACAGAACAATAGACCTGATTAAAGGTTAGGACATCAAATTGTGATCATTGTAAAAGTCTGTATTTAGATTCACATAATCAATAAGTATATTCTAGAGGTAGAGATCTGGCATACCAGTGGTTCCTGTAAAAACCACTTGGGTGGTTATGAAATAACCAACTACAGATTCTGTGTGCATAACTATTGTGAATGACAAAAAAATAGAGACAATTCAAGCATTTTGAGATATGTTAATGGAGTATTATCCCAATCATGGACAATAGTAATTTGAAAACTAATTCATATCAAGCAAATTAGTGCTGAGGATTAAAAAAAAGAAACTACTTAAGACACTATCCTTTCTTTAAGGAGCTCACAATCCAAATGTGGGAACAAACATAGAAAAACAGAATTATAAATAAAATGTTTGTTAGTTACAGAAATATAATTAAATAATACATGGAGTATTATTTTAAATTCTCATCACTTAATTTTAAGGTGCCATCATTATTTAGTACTAAAAAAATAATGTAGTATGCCAGGCTCTGTCTCTAACAACAACAACAAAAAACTTAGTATACTCATTTTTTTTTTAATTTTTAAAAAATATTTTAATGTTTATTTATTTTTGAGAGAGAGAGACAGAGTGTAAGCAGGGGAGCGGCAGAGAGAGAGGAGACACAGAATCCGAAGCAGCTCCAGGCTCCAAGCTGTCAGCACAGAGCCCAACTCAGGGTTCAAACTCACGAACCACGAGATCATGACCTGAGCTGAAGTCAGACACTTAACTGGCTGAGCCACCCAGGAGCCCCTTAGTATACTCATTTTATAAATGAAACCACTGAATTGAAATTTAAATAAACAACCGAAAACTCACCCACAGACAAATAGCTAGTAAGTGTTAGAGTTAAGAAAGGAACACAAATCTTTCTGCCATGGAATTACTGCTCTCAAAATAAGATCAGCACTTAATCAAAGTATGTCCTGCTGAACCAGTGTTTCATGGGCATTAAGTATTATGCACCCAAAGGAAAAGATTCCATAATGAGATAATTTTGAAGAAGACTAAGTTTCCTTACTTATAAAGCCTTTCTAAGACTTTAATATATGATGTGCATTGTGAATCTACTAGAGAAAGGTCTAGCAGGTAGGATTTTCAAATGCATTTAACCTCAGAAGCTTTTTATTCTTTTTTCTTCGTTGAGTATTGTGAGGGACCAATGTCCCACTGAACATCCATTGGGAACTCTGGCACTCTCCAAAACCAAGAAAAATCTAAATGTCAGGGACTAGAAATTTTCAAGGAGAGGGAGGAGCCTTGGAGGGGACAAGATAGCTGTCTTTAAATATCTCATCAAAGAAAGACATACTATTTCACCAGAGGGATGATCTAGATCTAATAAATGGAAACAGATTTCACCTTAACATTTCACTGTTGCACTATATGCTAACTTGGATGTAAATTTTAAGAAATAAAAAAATAAAATAAATAAATAAATAATCAATGAGAGTTTGAAAAAACTACATATGAGAGCTGTCCAACAAAGGTGGCTAATCACCCATGAAGGTTTTACCCAAGAGATTTCTTCAGTGGATGAAAGGTCAGACAACTCTGCTAAGCTTTCTTTTCAACTCTTCTATTTGATGGTTCATTTGCAGTAATTATCAACTGAAGTTTTCATATATTTTGTATTTCAGACTATCTGTCCATTTTTTGCAACATTTTGAATTAACCATTTTGTAGACAGAAGAAATACAGGTTAATGGGCAGAATGTTGCAAATATAGTGCCTTACATCAAAATACACATAACAACACACATATAATTTACATCCATGCCAGTGAGAAATAAAGGATCTCTTCTCCAACTTAAAAAAAACAGCAAGTGATTTAAATCATTTCAATTATAAATTTTGTGTGTGCTGACTAAAACGAAAGTTTTCTCATTTACAAAAGGAGACAAGGGGACTAGAAAGCAAATATGGGGGAAGCATGGGACCATCCAGTGCACAGATTGGTGTTAGGAGGAAGGAGAAGCTGGGGAATGTGGAAGGCACTCTTCAGATCCATTACTCTTACTTTCAATGTGTCTACACCTGGCTTTGAATGTCATTACACCCAAAGAAAACATAATATGATAGATCACATGATTATCAATGGATTTAACTACAATTCATTTGCTAGGATAGTAAGTTAGACATAGAGTTGTTACCTATTAGTGTATTCCTTGATGATCTGATATATGCTAATCTTAATTGTTTCATTTTCAAATCGACTATTACTCTGGTCCTTGTATATCCGGAATTCAGCTGCTGTCACTGCTTCCCCATGAGGAATTTGAGTCAGATCAAACCTGAATTCTTTGTAATGCCTTCGCTGGTGAGAAAAATCCTTGTCTCTTTCAACTGGAAAAGAAAAAAAAAAGGGAAGGAAAAAAGTTAATCCTTTATAAAGTATGGAAATTAATGGTAAATTCTCCTGCTTTGAAGATGAAAACAAGCAAGTAGGATATTATAAAACTGGGAAAACACTGGAACCGCAGGCTCATACACGTTTCCAGTTGAAGGAAATTCCACAAACCAACAACCTTTATTTCAAAAGCAATATAACCTCTGTGGTTTCATACAAATTCTTGGATCCTAACTAGAAAGGGTATCCAAAAATGTTTTTAAAAGCGAAGGTTGTAAAATGATTACTACTATTTTATCAGGTACCAGAACACAGAGGGGTTCATACAGGAGTTAGGGATATGTAATAGAAACCCCCAGGGTTCCAGGTGAAGTCAGTGATGAGATTTAGCACAGCTGAGGGAGGAAAATAGCAAGGAGGACTGAGAAATTGCAGGAGCATAAGAACTATGTTTATGGCATTGCAAAGGTCAAGTAAATAAAGTAAATTCATGTTCACGAGAGGGATTATTTCTAAAATGCCTTCCCCAGAATTTTTTTTTCTCCTTTCAGCAAATGAAATGTCCTTCTTTTGTTTTAAAAAAAAGCACTCTTATTACTTCTTATACATCGTTTGGTATAACCTCCTTATCCATGGGGCAGCATAAAGGCTTCCAAAGACTTCTGTCTGTTCTTACCCAAAATAGAGAGGAAAACATATTTTCCCCCTTCAGCAACCTTCCCACCAAGTGAAGTCAGAGAACTTTTCCTCTTGGGAACATTATGGAATGTTGAAGAATTCGGGTAGTAAGTGTGAGGCATGTTATTATATAACCTGGCTTTGTAAAATAGTATACTATTTGATACTATATCCACTGAACACCAAAAACCATCGCAAGAAATTATCTATGCAAAGGACTCATTTTTAGTAATGCACTATCATGTGGTGGAGTTATGTTTCTCAGTATTGGTAGCTTGCTCAAAATCTCTCTGTTATCTAAGATAATATATAGGTCAGGATCACAAAAATTACACTGCAAAGCACTGGGCACAAGGTGCCTCACAATTACAGCCTACAATAATACTTCTACATATTTCCAGTGATGTGTTCTATTGCTAAAATTTTGTTACAAGAAGATAAAAAATGGGTAAGTTGCGTAAATGAACTCCTAAGTTTCAAAAATTGCAGGAAGATAGGAAAATATCTTTAGGTGCATCATTGAAATCATGTCAACGCTGCTGTAATTATGTGAAACTTGGGGGTCCTAAACAAGAGGAAGGATTAATATTAAGGAAAAGATAAGAGGGTCACGACCAACCAGGAATGAGGGTGGAGGCCATGGCTGCTAGAACTCTGAGTTCCAGGACCAGATGGGTTCCATGTCTAGAGGAAGCTCATGACAAAGGAATGCATGATTCCTGGCCTTCATCCTTCGAAACAATCTTCAGTTTATTTTCCCCAGGAGTAGGAGGCCGTTTAGGAGGGCAGGGAGCTCATCTCCACCTCCACCTCCCATACCTAAGCCAGCAAAGAAAAATATAATCTACACCTGGCCCCGGGAAGCTTGACAAGAACAGTGTTCTGGCAGTCGGGCACATACTGACACCATCTCAGCATGAAGTTTTGTTTTGTTTTGTTTTTTTAAGTATCACTATCTTGGTCCTAAGAGAGGTCTGCTCCCAGGAAGATCAGTAATCAGCTTCTCACTAAATAAGGAAAACCATCCCATTTTTAGGATGCTATTTTGGTCCATAATTTAAACTTCTCCGTCTAACCTTCTGCTGGCAATAGCTTAGACTGGTATGAACGTATCTCCCTCTGTACTGTTTGTCCATCCTCCTGACTCAGGTACGTGAGAGGGAATGCGTAAGGGTAGAAAATGCCTACAAACTGGATGTCTAATAACTGAAAGTGCCTTAAAACTTGCCATATTAAAACTTGCCGATTGGGCGCCTGGGTGGCTCAGCCCATTAACCAGCCAACTTTGGCTCAGGTCATGATCTCACGGTTCGTGAGTTT